GCCTTCTTTGGCAACCCTCCTCCTCCTCTCAATATTTCATCCTTTCCTCTAGTGGGGGCCTCACCAGTGACGTCATGAAAGAAATTTTCGGTTCATTTATTTCTAGTAGGCTGTCCGGCAACCGCCACTGGTAAAAGCGGCTCTGCTGCTGCTGAAAGTGAATACGTGGAAAGTATAGGGAGTTTCCGCCTCCTGGTAGTCTTCTCAGAATTATCTAAAGCGTGTTTCTTTTAAATGCATGGCTTAATGAATGACGTTCACAAGAGACTTGTTACATTTACTCAACAAACTTGGCTTGCATGCAAACTATGTAGACTTAAATTATAATTTATCTGCCTTTTGTTTACAATTTATGGGTGTAGTATATTTTGTAGTCATTCTATGAAATTAAAAAAGAACAAGATGTTGTGGTTGGCACTGCGTGCATGATACAGTGCAATTATAGTTTAATTACTCTGCAATTGTTTCCTGGAAGTGTTAGGGGCATAATTATTTGAAAGTACACAGAACCCAAAACACTTAATTGGCAGTAAAAAATGTGTTATTGCTGGAATAGCGATTATATGAACACTCTCGGCGAGTTTTTGTCTTCGCCTCTGTGTTCTTTCAGAAGTCTAAATTGATAACATGCGTCGTAACTTTACGAGTGGGTAAAAAAGCACGAGCACTTTTGAAGCAGAGATAAACTGAGTCACCTTCTCTATCACCTGGAGGGTGCACACGGTAGTAACATCCCCCCACGTGGTAGAACTGCCGCGAAAGGCTTAAACACAAAGGAAACCTGTATCGAATGAGCATGAGGAAATGCGGTGGGCGGGGGGAAGAGAGGTCATTTGAGTAGGATCGGTGAACTTTGATTTTAAGGGCGTAGTCGCTGGGGCGCGTGCTATATCTGCAAGAATCAGTGCGCTTTCAACGCCATACCTGCCAAGTCTCCCGGATTACCCGGGAGACTCCCGGATTTTGAACGTTTCTCCCAGTTGTACAGGTCATAAGAAAATCTTCGGAAATCCAGTTATGCCCCGCGCATCCACTGCTTTGTCTGGCCACTTGAGCAAAATTGTCTGGCCACGTAGTAAAAAGGATTCTCTTTTTTTTTTAGCGATGGTGGCAAGGTTCAACTCTGTTCAATGTACATTTCCGAGAGGCGAAAAATAGTGCCAGAACATGCGGCCTGCCGAGTAGGAGCAGAGAAATTGCAAATGGCTGGGCAGTTTTTGAAGGTCACGCACATTAACTAAAAAGAAATAGAAAACTCCATTGTAGTAGATGGAGGGCAGTGACCCCGTGGTACAGTTAATGCTTTTGCTGGCTCTTGAATGTGCCAGCATTCCCACATGAGAGAGAAAAAAAGGAGAGCAAAAAGGAAGCCCCTCCAGTAGGAGCGCTTGCTTGACGTGGCGAGCGCTCCTGGAATGCACAGCGCTCTTAGTGGCTGTTCTATTGCAGCCAGCAGTGGGTGTGCTGCTGTTAACCTTTGGAGTTTGGGGGGGAAGGGGGGGTGGAGCGCATAGTCAGCCCTTTACATTGGCATAATAGGGAGTGGCACGGCGACTCTGGCGACAAAGAGGGGCGGGGGGCTGACGTTGCGGCGGAACTTCACTCTCGTCCACCTGTACCCAAAAGGGGAAGTGAGCATGCTTATACCCACACCTCACCAGGCACTTTCTGTACATTTCCTTTATGCGACCCCTTTCCCCTCTCCCTCAAGGAGCCAAGCTGAATCCTGCTTCGGCAAGGGTTCCTCGAACCTAATGGCAGGGCTTTTTTAAACCGCCCGCCACGATTAACCAGCAGCTTCTCCCTTTCGCAAGTCGGAACTTTTTAAATTTGTTTTCTTTTTATATTCGGACAGTTTTCTCCTCACTGTCTCTTTTATTCCCAACCCCCTTAATGAGGGCTCCTCCCCGATATTCTTACCTTTTTGCTCCAACATTCTTGGTTTCTTTGTTTTTTTTTTTTTATCAACCACAAGGGTTGCCAAAAAGAGTGCCTGATACTGCTTGTTTTCTTGGGCTATGAGCGGAGAAGGTCGAGCTAGGGGAAGACGATTGGTCGGCGGGACTGTACCATGGTCCCTTGCCCGACAAAGTAACTCGTAAGCAAGTAACGACAGGCCTTGCACATGGAGCGATGTTATCGCATGTGCCCTTTGCGTGACGGTGACCGCCGTGTCGTTTCATATCTGCTTCAACCGGGTTGGTCCCCAGCGCTAGGGCGCTTTTACTTGTAAAACAGATGATGTGTGAGCAATGTTATCGGTTTGGACTCTGTACAGATCAGCGGCGACCACCAATTTCTGCTGACAGTGTTCATATAATTGCTATCGCACTACCCCCCCTTGTGTCAACCTTTTGATACGAATGTCAGGGTTCAGAGGTTGTCAATGCTGCACTGCTGAAACGAATGGCAAGGTTAAGCACTTCATGATCTGCTTCACGTGGTGCAGGCGAATCGAACGGAGCTTATATTCCCACAAATTCGTGGTGCAATACGGAAACACTTGAAGAGTCAACCTCTGAAGATCCTTCATTGTCACCGTGGTGTCTCATAGTTTCCTTCAACGCCTAATCTGACGTCCCCTTTGCGGTGATGACACGGTTGTCCACGTTAAAGAAAAAAAAAGAGGGAAGAAAAAAGGCAAAGCTAAACGTCGTTGGCGCCCACACCATGCCCGCAAAGTGATACCATGCATGCACACACAGCATCAAAAACAAAGAGCGAAGGACATGGCTACCGCAGTCCTGCATATGTGACGCTGACTAAAAGCGTGGCACTCCCAATGCAAAAGCCCTTTTTTTTTGGTTCAGAGGAAGAGGGATGCACATATGCGCATGTGCCCGGGCGGTAAAAGTGGCGGCAATGCCAGCTCGTGGGAAGCAGGCCCTGCTTGCCTCTTGCCCACGCCTGGGAGTCGCCGAGGCCGAGAGCATGCCGTCCATGTCGCTTCGTGCTTCATCGGCAGCGGGGGTTGCAACGTGGAAGGTGCATGCTCTTGCCAATATGATAAAATCTGGGACAGATTGTTCGTGGTAGTTAGTATGAAGTACCAATTACCAGCGTGTTGGGTGTAGCGCAATTAATGCAACTGATGTAGAGTGCGTAGCCCGTTTCCGACCTGTCAACTAACGAAGTTGATCGGTTCCGCGAAGGCGAACGCGGAAGACCCGAGCGCGGAAAAGAAAGGAAACTTCTTCGTTCTCACGGTTCACAAGCAGAGCAGTCAAGGTCGCCCCCGTACGGGATTAGCAGGGGAAAGCTTACTCGGAAGAGCGTCTGGCAAGAAGCAGGTCAGGCGCCACTGTCTGAGTTTAAGCCATTGTGGGCATGCGCGCGTGCTATTGAGAATGACACGGGGACGCGACCACTTGGCTGACCGAGACATAGTGGCGGCCGGGAGACGAGTATAACCTCCCCCGCTGTACGTCATTACTGAGTGCTGTTAGGATGTCGAGGCGCCTCGCTGTCGCATGCACACCTGGTAAGCGTACAGAGCGCAACCGTGTACTCAGCGCTCTTAAGGACGCTTCTACGAAGCAACATTTAATGAGAGAGCTGACGGGGCTCGATCGTGAGAACGGCCGCCGACGGAAGTCGGCCGATGGAGGCAGCACTAGTAGTGTTGGGCGGCACGGCCTGGCATGGGAGAGAGTGTCACACGCGGAGAACCTATCCCTTTGCGTGCTCTATTTGGTGACGAGGTTTTTACAAATGTAGGGCCTTTTATGAAAGTGTTTCTGTGATTGGTTGTGAAGATGCGAGTCCCAACATATGATTGGTTTTTGTGAAGACTCTTTGTTCGACCAAGGGTTGAAAAGAGGATGTTTGAATTTGAAATGAGAGCGGAGGTTCGGGCTTGGACTCGGGCAGTAGTAGCCTGAGGCAGCAATAAAGCGTCTCTTCACCGGACTACGGCTCTTTCTTCGCGCTGCCACCGTGCACTCGAGTCATCGAGGGGACCCATTCCGAACCTCAAACATCTTCCCTCCTAAGCTAGTGTTGAAGCTAGTCGAGGAGGAGGAAATTAACTGTGGCGAAAATTGATTATATCAAGGATCTCTCCTGATTGATCGATATGTGGGGTTTAACGCCCCAAAACCACCATATGATTATGAGAGACGCTGTAGTGGAGGGCTCCAGAAATTTCGACCACCTGGGGTTCTTTAACGTGCACCCAAATTTGAGCACACGGGCCTACAACATTTCCCCCTCCATCGAAAATGCAGCCGCCGCAGCCGGGATTCGAACCCACGACCTGCGAGTCAGCAGCCGAGTACCTTAGCCACTAGACCACCGCGGCGGGGCAAGGGTCTCTCCTGCTGTTACTTTGTTACATAGAGGTTGAAAATATGTGTGCTTTTATGGAGTAGCGGTGGGGAATAGAAAAACTTCGTTATATCGAGGAGATCGTTATTTGGAGATTCGTAATAAGCAGGTTTAACTGTATTTTAGTAATGCCGCTTCACTACCGGTGCTCTGGTGAAAAATAAGCTTCGTCTTTGAGATACATTCTCCATTAGGGGCCCTATATTTTGCTGTAGCTTCTATGCCACTCTTTGTATCGGGTTAGGATTCACCGGTTTCAATAAGTATGACCAAGTCCGTTGAGGTGTGCTGCGTTTGCTGAGGCTAAACCAACGTAAAGTGTGTTCATATAAATTTAGCTTGTCTTTACTAAGCACTCTTACATCTACATGGCACCACGCATTTGCGGTACACAGCCTTCCGCTGCTCTGAAATGCTAGCGTATGCTGTTTACTGTAGGTTATCTTACTGTTAGCGTTAAGTTGCAAGCTAATGCTAGCATAAATGTTATGCCCCATTGCAAGTGTTGGTGGGCTTGCCTTGCAAGGAGAAAAAAAAAAAATAAAACAGGATTATTTTCTACAAATGCTTTCGACATCTTTCTATGCATGTTATGTTTCTATATATGTTATGAACAAGCTGTATTTGTGTGACCTTCATAGACTTGATTTCAGTTGTTCAACCTCTTCTAACAGAACCTTTCCGAGGGCGACCTGAACTCATTTGAGCTGCAATCACTTAGTGAAGCCATGGTGGACATCCAAAACAGCGTGATGCCAAAAAATGTCGGGTGAGTTCTAATACATTTTTTCATTTATCCATGCATTCTAGAAATTATCTGTTCCTTCCTTTCAATGCCACTTTACAGTCCTGGCGAAAATGGTTCGCATAATACAGAATACAGTCGCCGACCAATTTTCTGGGCCTGGTAGGGACCACGAAATAGTCTGCAAAATCGAACAGTCCAAAAAAAATGGTCAAGCCCTGAAAATGAAGTTTATTTGGCTTAGAAAAGCCTGAAGCAATCCTCAATAGTGTGATGCTTTGTGCTGCTCTTGGGTATGAGGGAATTCTGTTTTTGGGGAAGGGGGGGGGGGGGGCTGCGGCAACATTGTTGGCAAACGCTGCCACCGACTGTTGCGGGTGACAAAGTTAGAGGCTTCATATAACCAAGCAAACAAAACTTGATGCCAGTCGCAAAAAGATGCATGCAACGTCTCGCCTGTTTCATAGGATATAACAACACGGTCTGGGCTTTTACCTGCACCAACACCGCAGGGTAGGACCCACCCGCATTTCGCCACCATCAAAATGCTACCGTCACGACCGCTATCGAGCCCGCTTGTTACAGGTCAGTCGTTGAGCAGCTGACCACGGAGTGCTACTGAAAAATTACGAACGGCAATGAGCATGCGACGCGCATGACGGCTCAAACACACTTGACACACCGCCACTGTGAACTAAAATATACTCCAGTGGCTCGGTGCCGCCGCTGCTGTCTCAGCTGCGCAAAAGACACGGACGGCCAATAAGATTTCTCACAGCGCCACTGCGCCGTTTCATGTGCGTGAGCACGTGCCAACAGAGTGTTCTCCGGTTAGCGCGGAAGTCACTCAGTGCATGTGCGTGAGTATATGCATGAGTTAGGCATGTTGAGCTAACGCTACCTAAAGAAACTTCTTCAAGGCCTGGAAGCTCTACCGCATTTGTCAACAGGGCAATGACGCTGGTTGCGTTGTGCACTGTGGTGGTGCACAACGCTACCGACGCCAGCATTTAGTGGCTCGTTCACATCGGCGTTTCAGTCCCGGCAGCATTACTGTGCTTCGACGCTGTACTTCTATCAGACTCATCAGCTAGCGGGCATCCGTTGGAGAGTTTGCTGTTGTAAGCAACGTAAGAAAAAAGAATGTTGCCACATTCTCTGTGTGCCATCTGGCTTTTTGGAGTTGTGATGTGTGCTACTTTTCTTTGTGCTCGTGTTGAGTTTACTTACCACGTGCAGTTGTACAGTAAGTGGCTGGGGCAGGGGAAAGAAGCTGTATAAAACCAGCTTGACAAAGCCCCATATCGCCATGATAACTGTGTTCGTTGGTGAGTGACCAGATTGTGAGCAGTTGCGATGCCAAGACAGTGTAGTGCCCACATTTTTTTGGAAACCATGAATTTGGGCCGCGAGTGTACATATTTCGATTTCCGGCTGACCAAGGTGGGTGGAAGGCATGGATACAGGCTATCCCAAGAGAAAGTGTCAGCCCAACAAAACATGAAAAAGTAAAAACTCTGTTTTTTTTTTTTCTTCTCGTGTGTTGTGTTACATCTAGTACTGTGTTATTCCATGTAACTTTTACCTATGCGCTCGTTTCGAAGTTCGTTAAGGCCAATACCAGAAACGGGAAGCATAATGCTGTCGCTTTTTCATCAATCGCAGCAGTTCGAAAAATTATTTAGTTAGGTGATATAGACGAGAAAGCCAGCGACGACCAGAGGTCCTAGCGTACACGAGATGCGCTTTTCTGTTTCCTTGGTCACTGCACATGCTTTCCAACAAGTGTTCTTGCGCGGCGTGTACCGCACTTTTGTGGGCCGCATAAAAGAGTCAAGCCAATGAACGTTTTTTGCAGGCCTGATTATTGCGTTGCCATTTCTAGCAAGCTACTCTACTGCACATGTACTGGTGCACTCGGTTGCATTCTCTCGCAAGGACTAGATTGGAGTCTGTATTTTGTGAAATATCCCGCCCTAACAAACATGTAGCTCATGACACGTGGAAACAGAGAACGGATCCTCATTGCTTTGCTCTGGGTTGCCGAAAGTGTCGTTGTTTGCATCTCCCAAGGACGATGATCTCCGCAGAAATAGGGAGCGCAACCTCCAAGGGGGAGACGCCTCTGACCTAAACCTCAGCAGTGTGTGAACATCATTTCGACCCGAGATATATCCGGCGCGATTATGTGCACGTTATAAATGGCAGTGAAGTGCGCATTTACCCGAGGAAAACCATCTCTGGTTCTTGATGCCATGCCAACACTTTTTCCAGGTGATCCATGTAGCAACTAATCTGGTAATTTTACATTTGCATGAACCAGAAAGCAAACACGCGTTAGAATAACCACATCTGCAGCTCAGCAAGAGTCTGCAACGGCCCGACATCACAGCCAAAGCTCGCATGAAAAGTAGCAGCGGCGTCACCTGGCAGCATCCGCATGAAAAGTGACAGCGGAGCCTGGTCGTTCGCGCCACAAAAGAATATTCTAGTTGGCGATACACAACGCTAACACGAACACTTGCGCAATGACGACCACAAAAACAAATGCCCAGGAGACACAAAGTCAGTTTCGCCGCAAGGGCGAAGCAACGAATGCGATAGCAACAACTTCAAATGTAAAGCGAAGAACGGCAACCAGATCGAAACGTGCAGCAGGCTGCTCAAGCACAAATGACGCACAAAAACGACATACTCAGGACGATAGCAAACTAACAATGCTTACCGCTCAATACTTAACGAGCTGTTTAAACAAACACGACACTTGAAAAATAATCACAAGTAAAAATGAGTGCAAACTAACAAGTGTCCCAGTTGTTATACTTCGCTGTGTATGAAAAGCGCACTTTTTTTGCAAACGGGGCCTGTGCAGCGAGCGAAGTGACCTTTGTGTGCCCGGCGACTACCGTAATTACTCGAATCTAACGCGCACCTTTTTTCCGGTTAAGCGAGTTCATAAATCGCATGCGCGTTACAATCAAGTACGAACAAAAAAATTACGGTCAATCTATTGCCATCGCAAATCCAAAATGGCCGCCCCCTACGTGCGTCGGCATGGTGCGTTGGATATATCTGCCTATGTGTTTACCATGTGCGGCACTTCGTACGTGTGCTGAGGAGTTCGTCATCTAGTAGTGCATTAGAATCGACGACGTGGAAGGGCCGACTCCAAAAACTCGAGTGCACCACGATGCCGCTTTTAAAAGAAAAGTCATCGCGTGTGCAGAAACGGACGGAAATCGGGCCGCATCGCGGTCGTTCCCGAAACGTGCGTGCGGGACCGGCGGAAACAAAAGCAGAAGATTGTCGACAGCAAAGCTTCACGCAAAGGCTTCAGTGAACCACAGCAGGGTCGGTTTCCGCAAATTAAAGAGCTGCTCGGCGAGTATGTGCTTGAGGAGCGAGCGGCACAGCGGCCCGTGACGACAGAACTGCTCCAAGTGCGGGCTATGCAATTAGTCTTAGAAAAAGGTCTAATGCGGAGCCAGTTTAAAGCGAGCAGGTGCTGGCTAATCAACTATATGAAGAGACGAGGCTCTTCCCTCCGAAGGGGAACATGCATATGCGAAAACTTTTGCGGAGAAGTACGATGAAAAGCTTTACAGTTTTCAGAGGTTCGTCCTAAACTTGCGGCGCAACAACGGCTACCTGCTTGGGCAAATCTGGAATGCCGATCAGACGCCTCTTTACTTCGACATGCCTGCGAGAAGAAGGGGGCGAAGCAAGTTCGCGTGCTGACATCGGTCCACGGTAAAACTACAGTGACGGCAATGCTCTGTTACACGTCAGATGGGCACAAGCTTCGCCGTACCTCATATTTAAATGGAAGACAATTCCGAAAGGAATCGTTTTTTCGAGTGGTGTGATCGTGCGGGCCAGAGAAAAAAAAAAAAAAATGGGTGCGCGTTGCAATCGATGTCTTACGTTTTTTTTTTTTTTTTTCGCGGTGGAAATCGGGTGCGCGCTACAATCGAGGGCGCGGTAGAATCGAGTAAATACGGTAACACAATCGTTTCGGTGGTGAAAGCGGTAGGTGCATTATTTTACCCACCGAAGGATAAGCGCGCATGCTCAAGCATCTACCCTCCCTCCCCCCCCATTTGGCGAACAAAATACACGTGGGAGATAAGCACGTGTCGGCGCATTGTGACGAGCGAGCGCTGAGCGCGCATGATTTTTTTCTTTCTTGAATTTTTATATATACATATACAGTAAGTACGTATACATATACGGTGAATGACGGCGGTGGTGGCAAACAAGCCAGCTGAGACTGCCCATATAATTGCTATCGCAATAAAACTTCCTACCGGCGTATTAGTGATGATGATAAGGCTGACTGAAAAAGTCGCAGTTTTGCCGCAAAGGCGAAGCAATGAACGTGATAGCAACCGATTGAAAGGTCACACGCAGAATGGCAAGCTGATCGAAACATGCCCCGAGTTTCTCACACACAAATGATGCATGCAAGTGTATATTAACTCTATGGTTATTTGGCTGTGTCTGAATGCGCACAATTTTTGCATACGGAGGCTGTGCAACGATTGCAGTGACCTTTGCGCACCCCGTAACTACAACAGAATCGTTCCAGTGCAAACCCAACGCCAGCTAAGACGTATGATCCTTCCCACCGGGAGATAAGGACGCACGAGAGAGATCGTCCGCCCCCCTCTCCGCTTGCCAAAGTACGCGTGAGATATGAGAACTGCCGCGTGCTCGTTGCACCATCCTGCTGATAATGCTGAAAACACAATAGTTGCCCCCGAGATGCCCGCCAATAGCGATAAGTGGTAGATATAAAGGGCTTGCCGTTTGGACAATGAAAGAGGTGTCCCTCGGTGTCTCAGTGGTTAATGCCTCGCATTCATGACACAAAGGTTCCACGTTCAATTCTGCGTGCTGGAGTTTTTTTTCTGGATTTTTTTTTCTTTCTTGCGTTTTCATATAGATACCTATAGATATACGGTGCATGACATTGACGCCAACGGCGAAATCCAACCGAGAGTGTCCATACGATTGCTATCACA